ACAAAATTAAACACATTAGAATTACCCTGTGACCCATTAATTCCACTTTTGGGTATATATGCAAGAGAAGTGAAAGCAGAGACTTGAATAGATACTGGTACAACATGTTCAGTAGCATTATTCACAATAGCCAAAAGGTGAAAGCAACTCAAGTAACCATTGATGGGTGAATGAAGAAACAATGTGGTACATACCATACAATGGAATATTATTCAGCCTTAAAAAGGAAATTTTGACACATGCTACAATATGGATGAATTTTGAAGACATTATTCTAAGAGAAATTAGCCAATCACAAAAGCACAAATATTGTGTATGAAGCTATTTATATGAGGTTCCATAGAGACAGAAAGTAGAATGGTGGTTACCAGGTACTAGGAGGAGGGAGACTGGGTATAGAAGTTCACTGGCAAAGATGAAAAAGTTCTAGAGGTTGCAAAAGAATGTGAATGGACTTAATGCCACAGATTTGTACACACTTAACATAAAATGTATGCTTTTAACCAATTTTATCTATATTTTACCCCCAGAATAAAAAGGCAGAGTGAGGAGCACAGTAAAAAACTTGCTTTGCTTAACTCAAAAAATAGTAACAAAATTCCCCAAAAACCTCAAGCTCATCAGATCACCTCATCACTTATGATTTTTTTGTTCTCGACAATGTACTTGACGTCACTGAGTTTAGTTTCCCCATTTGTAAATGGCAATAACCCTACCTCAAAGAGTTGTTGTGAAGATTAAATTAGATAATATCTATAAAGTGTCTGGCACATATTAAGCACTCAAATGAATACCAGCTATTTTTATTAGCATAAGTAAGCCACTTGCTAAGAAATAACACAGATGGTTTCAGATGATCGAGGAAGTGAGTTATTCTATTCAGTTAAATCATTAATATGGAGATGCACATGCAATCTTCATTAACTAAAGAAGCCAAGCAACAACTAGGTGGTTTCGTGGAGTTTGCTGTAATTAAAGTCAGATATAAGGTATTTTGAAGATTTCTGAAAATGTCTCAAGTTATTTGAGAATTATATAAATGTAACATTGATTCCACATTAAAGAAGTAAGGTAAATAAATTATGAAAGTATATCCTAATCCAAGTCTTTGCATTATATTAGCAATTGAAAGAAGTAGGATAATGTATCATTCTTTCATTTATTTATCTAATATTTACTGTCTACCATGTGTCAGCCTCACAAACATATATATACCGAATACATATATATATGCTTATATATATACTGAATATACATACATGAATACCAAGTTGCATCTAGGCAATAAAACAAAAAAGCTCCAAAATGCCTTTTAAATTATAGTGCTTTTTAAATGTTTCCTATGTTAGTCTGTTTGATTAAGAGCAATAAGAGCAATATCTTTTGATATAAAGGATATAGAAAACTGATGGTTGTGAATCTATAGAAAATAAAAACTGGAGCAAAGCTCAGTACTGTAGTTCAGCTAATGCACCTGGACTCTTGCTGGCCATTAACCTAAATTATAATACAAAAAAATTAGGAACTCAATTTTTAAAGTGCAAACAGATGTGATTGCAAATATCACAAAGACTAGTAAACTTCTGGAATCAGTATACATGGCAGAAGTGGCAATGATTTTACTTTCAACTCTTTTAGAAATCTGAATTTAGATGTGTTTCATGACTGCTTATAGTAATAAATTCCAGTTCCTAGAAATGCTAGTTAATTCCTGTTATATGTAAATACACCAAACAGGGCAAAGAAAATCTTAAAGTTCACTTACTTCAAGAAATATTAAAAATTAAAAGAAATTATATAGGCCTCAATATAATGAGACAACTATAATGGGGCTTAAGTAGCATAACAAAATCTTGACAAATAACAGTATCTTGCCTTGTGCTGAAGAAACTCTCTGTACAGCTGTGGGCACAGCTATAGCTGAGAAAAATAAGGTCAAGAAGGAAACACCCCTAAGTTTATTATATTAGTACAATGATTTTAAGCTTTTAGATCTGATTATGAACTAGTATGGAGTGTTAAGAGTATAAGAAGGTGTCCTAGGGTTCTGTCCACTTTTGCCCATCTCTTCCTCCTACCCTTCCATAAAGCAGCACTTTAAAGACACTTCTTTGGACCTCTAGATGCCTGTGCATTCAGCCTGAAAGCCACTGGTCTAAAATGAACCAAATGTCATCAGACGCACATCTTTCAATTGATGTCTAGAATGATGTACACACCATATCATCAGTTATATTTTACCACCTATACAATCAAGAGGCCTCTGTGCTCAAAGGCATCAAAGAAACAGGTATAAAAATGTTTCCCGTTGATATAGGACCAAAGTTTATCTGAAAACTTTTAACAAAGCTGGCTACACACACCAAAAACTTATGTGGCATGTAACTTGATTCTATGAGTGAATTTTGTCTAAGGTTGCTAACTGCAGAAAGCCATTTCCAGTCCGTTAAATACATTTATTTTGACACAAAAAGGATTGTTGTGATATTAACTGTCTCCCATAGCCTGAATGTAAGTTCCATACAATTCTTGGTTTCAAATTCTAGTAAAGGATTACAGGTTACCTTGGTGCACAGGTCAGAATCCACTTAAATTTTTGACAGTGGGACTAGGGCCAACTGGATGAAGGGTAATTTCTCTGCTTCTGCCAATACTAGCAACTGTTGTGAATAAATGCATCATAGGAAAAGCAGATTGGCCTTCTCTTCCCGGTTCTTCCCAGACTTGGGAAAAGCCAGGTTGAGGGGTGGGGAGAAGGAAAAAAAACCAGACTGGGATCTTGGGAATTCTGACCAGTCAAAGGTAATCAGGGGGTAGGGAAGTAAGCAATCCTTTTAGATGTAGACTTTATAAGCTTTACTAAATTGGTAAAAAGTTTCCATAACAATTTTTAGGGAAAAAGTTATCTGAGCTCTGTGGATCACTCTCTGGAACACAAAGGGTACTCTTACTTGCAAAGTACTTTGTTCCTCAGGGACCATTTGAAAAAGTATTTTAAAGTAACCTATTAACTATCCTACCATACTTTTTCACCTTAAAGAAGATTTAAGAGAAAAAATAGATGCAAATCTATCTGAAGGGGTAAGATGTGACACTTGAAAAACACATATTTATACTTATAATGAGCAGTGTTTAATACAAGATTTCACCATGATGACTATTCTAGCACACTAACACACCATTTCTATGAACATTATAAGCCAAGTCCAAAGGCTGAAGAAGATTGCAATTAGAATCTTACTTACGTAAGGCCTACGTACAGAAACTTCCTATGACAGAGAGCCAAGACAGTAACAATATCAAACATAGTAGTTATTGATTTAAATAAAAGGTGGTCTTTTGAAATCTAACATCACTTCCATAATGAAACACAGTTCTATTTCCCATACCATTGGGAAAGAGCCAGTGTTTTGTTTTCTCTAAGCTCCTCTTTGTTAGAGTAGCATTCTAGTGCTTGCTAGATAAATGATTATTACCACTATAGAAGTCACTACCACACAAAATCAATAATACACATTGAGATGCAAAGCTATCTACCATCCATGAGTACTCATGAGTTTTCTATCATAGTTCACTGTGTTCACACACCCTGGGATATAAGAAATGCTTAATGTAATCTCTATCTTCATTTAAAAACAAGACTTTTCAAGTGGTATATTTTAATGGTTCAAATCAAGAGATGTAAAACATGAAATTGATATTGAAATATAATTTTTGGAATGGAAAAAGCTAATAAGGCTAATTTAGAATGATAACTTCTATAATTAGGGAAAGAAAGAAACATGATTCCTCTATCTTAGCTTCAAATACTTGATAGAGACACCCAATTTATAACATCTAAATAGTGGTAGTCTTAGGAACAAACTGCTTAGAGTCATTGCTATCTTTTTTTCCCAGGACACACTCTACAAGATCTTGCTGAAGCTGACAGCATTGTGGATGTTAAAAGTAATATTACCTACTCAGCACTTATTTGCCAAGAAACAGGCCATATACATCCTGCCTAACAGGGGACTGATCATTTTTTTCACCTTCTGACAACCCATTACTTTCATGTCAACAGAGCACAATTTATATTTTTTTTAAAAAGGACTTAATTTTGCAGATAATGATTGTCTATCCTTGATCACCTACTACATAATCCCCATCACACTCTAGAGACTATCAGTAAAAAATACAGCATGTTGACATCACTGATAATGCCAAAAGGGGGAAGGGTACACTTTTCTAATGTTCAGTAATGGAACCCAGAAAAACTGAGCTCTAGTAACTCCTAATAAGTGGAAACTAAGACATTTACCTGGGAAGAGGGTTAAGAGGGGGATGAAAAGGATGGATAGGGAATAGAAGTTAGGAGAAATGGTTCATCTTGGGATAAAGGAGAATTAGACTCAGAGAAGACTTCATAAGAGTCTCTGGTTTGCCTATTCAGTGCACTAATGTATCTGTTAAAAGATGATTCCTTAAGTGTGTGTTTGATTAAAATTCACTGTGGAGCCAGACTTCTTTCCCTTTGATAGTAATGTGCCTTGCATTATTTTATTGACTCATAAGGGCTTTTATGCAAGAGGGTAGAATATATGGAACCCACATTTAGATTTCTGAGAAAGACTGAAGCATCAAATAATCAACTTAAATACTTGGTCTTGGTTATATCTTATAAAATCTCAACGTATGAAAAGGAAGGCAAATAATAATAACGCTTTTTTAGTTTATGATGGTAGATATCTCAAAACACCAGCTCTCTTAGCACTTGGGAGAGGATAATGAGCATGTTGAAAATATGTGGCAGAAATTTCTTACAATATTACCCTTTCTCAATCACTTGAAGTCATTAAAGCACAAGCTATGAAATTGCCTCTAAAAACACCATTAAATGGAAAGTTTCCAAATCCACAAGAGAAAGAAACACTTGGAAAATGAAAGACAAGGAAGTGAAAGGCAAATAACCAACTTAAAGGCTCAGCCATAGTTAGGTGAAAATAAATTTGATACTATACTTTGGTTTTGCATTTTTGTATTCTTCAGTGTCTGTGTCCTCATCCTCTGAGTACCAATTATCTCCTCTTCCTCCAGCCAAGAGGCCCCTGGCCGCCAACAGTCCTGCAGCATTCCCATAGCCAGTGTATTTCAGGAGGCTATCCACTGCAAAAACAGAATAGAGTTTTAGGCAGGAATCCTTGGGTGCTCACCATAATCACCGACCAATCACCAACACAGGGAGGCTGTAGACACATGCCATGGCAGTAAGCCTTTAAATTGAGAGGTTTTCAAAGTGGGGTAATGGTTATACTGAACTCTACCTATAAATTCTCCTATGTGCTCTGAGGACTAAAAGCCTTTTTTAGGAATTAGAAATTCAAACAAAGGTCTTTTGAACACACTTTTTGGCTGTGACTGCAAGGCTCTTGGTAAGGGCCATGTATTAAGTTTCTGATCTCAAATCTTACTTTTAAAACATCAAGGCCTTTAACAGAATGTTGATAAAATGACAACCTGAAGAAAAATGTAGGAAACAAAACATAGCACACTATCTTATCCACGTATAAAAGCCATAGTAAAATCTATATCCAAAATACTATTGTAATTCAGATAACTTACCTCAAAAAAGACAAAGCTGGAGAAGATTCAGAGAAGGGCAGTTAAAATGAATTTGGATAGCTGAAAGGGTCAGTGGGTAGGGAAACAGGTGGGTAAGAAAAAGGGATATTGACAGGTGTGGTGGCTCACATCTATAACACCAGCACTTTTGGAGGCTTAGGAGGGAGGATCGCTTGAGCCCAGGAGTTACAGACCAGCCTGGGCAACATAGCAAGATCCTGTCTCTACAAAAAATAAAAAATTAGCTGGGCACAGTGGCATGTGCCTGTAGTCCCAGCTACTCAGGAGGCTGAGGTGGGAGGATTTCTTGAGCCTGGGAGTTCAATGTACTCCAGCATGGGTGACAGACCAAGACCCTGTCACATACATACATACATACATACATAATAAATAAGGATATGTATGATCAGACTGTAAAATCATGAAGGGCATAGATAGGATGAATATTCTAAGATAGAGTTGTTTATTAAATTTTCAAATACCTGAACTAGAGGGTATCTCCCTTGATGCTGCAAATAGGTGGTTTGGGGATAAATAAAAGGAAGCCCTGCTTTCAAAGAATATAGCAAACTGGTGAAATCTGTGAAAAAGGAAATATAGGCTAATAATATGAATAGATTAAATGAGGTTGAAACTAGTCATCTTTAATCTTAAAACCTACTGGTAACTAGTCTCTTTGGTAATAACTCTTGGTGAATGCTGTATGTAATCATATTAAAATTTAATGAGGGAGAGCTGGGCATGGTGGCTCATGCCTATAATCCTAGCACTCTGGGAGGCTGAGGTGGGAGGATAGCTTTAGCTCAGAAGTTGGAGATCAGCCTGAACAAGAGTAAGACCCTGTCTCTATTAAAAATAAAAAAATTAGCCAGGAGTGGTGGCATGCACCTGTAGTACCAACTACTTAGGAGGCTGAGGCAGGAGGATCACCCGAGTCCAGGAGTTCAAGGTTGCTGTGAGTTAGGCTGATGCCATGGCACACTACTCAGGGCAACAGAGTGAGACTCTATCTCAAAAAAAAAAAAAAAAAAAAAAAAAAAAAAAATTTAATGAGGGATCACAGTGATACAATCTGAAAGCCTTCTGAATAAACTTAATGGGCGCCTTGCTGTCAGTGTCTCCTCAAGATGCAGTGATTTAACTAAATTAGGCAATCCTTAACAAGTCATTAGGGGAAGAAGTGAATGTTCAGTGTATATAAGTATCCTTAATATTCATGGAGATCAGACATGACCTTAATGACATGGTCAGACACAAAGCCACTGAAGAATCATAGATCTAAACCCACACAAAGTACTTCACAGATAGTAGGTGATGCTATCATTCATTGTAAACATTACTGATAAGCCCTATTTTAACAAATAAGGATGTTTAGTGGTTCCAGAGAAGAAATGTTCACTGAAATGAAAAAAGTCTAAATTGAGATGATATAAATTGTTTAAATGAATATACTTAAAAACAAAGCAACAATAATTAGCCAACAAAATGGCTAAAGATTAAAATAGCTTAAGAATGCAAAGGTTATGAAAGGCCAAACAGGTTAAACAGAAGTAAACAGAATACTAAATAACTGCCTTTTTCTTTTGCAGAAAATCTCTTGAGAAGCTAGTTAATAGTAAAAATCCCTGACACTTTCATGAAAATAATGTTTACTGATCTTTCTCCAGAACAAACATTATGTACCAACTCTGACAGTGTAGGTTACAAAGATGATTTAAGACATACTTTGCTTCAACACAGTGAATCCTTTTCCTTCCAGTCAAATACTGTAACGTTAGAAATCCAAAATAGTAGCTTCCTCTAATTAGTGTCCTTATTTCCAGTCTCATACCCCTCCATTCCTTGTTCCACACAACTGTCCAAGATATCTTTGTAATGCAAAAATATGGTTTTATCACCTCTAATGTCTCCCCCTAAAGGCTAAGCTCAAATTCAAAAACAGGTCCTAAAGGAGTCTTCATCTTCTGGCCTCTGCCTTCTTTTCCAAACTCATCTCCTACATTGTGGATTCCTCACACCTTGAACTGGTATCTTTTCTATACACACCAAGGCTATTCCCCATTTCTCTGTCCTATCCTGAGAAGACCTTCTCTGATCTTCTCTACATCTTACAATCATTCACTCTTCTAGGTTGCCATAGTACCTGGCACATTCCTCTCTTAGGGCAGCTTACCATAGTGTACTGAAATTATTCCTTTATATGGAGAAATACACAAGACAGTATATTCATCAGACTGAATTTATGGAAAACACAAATGTTTACTCTTTTATTAAACATTTAGGGGGACCTGCTATCTGTTAGGTACTTTGTTAAGCACTGGGGATTCAAAGATGAATAAGACATGATCTTCAACTTCAAGAAACTCAATGCCAGAATGCAAGTTTAACAAATAGAGAGTTATAACATAGTAAATGTCAAAAGTATTAAAAACAGAGAAGTAAAAATGGCACAAAGGAGAGAATAATTAGCTCTGCCTGGGATGGTCAGAGAAGTCTTCACAGAGATGATGCGTAAGCTGATTTTCAAGGATAAGTAAAGCTCACCATGGTAACACAGAAGGGGAAGGCATTCCATGCAAAAGGAACAGCATCTGCCAAGACATGGACGTATGCCAAGAAATGGTGCAATATAATCAGGCAAGAATAAAGAATTTAGTGTGATTAAGCACAAAGTATAACATAGGAATAGATTTAGAATACATTACAGAGATAAACCATGGAGGTAAAATTTGGATTTTACCGGACAGGCAACAGGGAATCATTGAAAGCTTTACACAGAGGAAATGATGAGATTATATTTGTATTTTAGAATAATCCCCGTTAGCCATGTAGAAGATAAACCGAAGAAAACCTGACTGCAAAAGAGAGATCCAACTATTTTAATAGTTTATTAATAATTTAAGAAAATAATGTCTAGGGCCTATACTAAGGTAATGTATGGGAATAGAATGGAGAGAATAAATAAAGGAGATATTTAGGAGGTAAAAATCTATATAATGTGGTTATTATTAGTTCTATAGGTAAAGAAGGAATCTAAGAAACTCCTAAGTTTCTGGTTTTAGCAACTAAATAGACAATGGTGCCTTTCACAGAGACAGTGATTGAAGGAGAAGGTTGAAGGACAATGGGAATGGAGATAACTTTAGACCTGAGTTCGAGGTACCTGTGAGAAACTCAGGTGGAGATGTCCAATAAGCAGGTAGATAAACATGATGGGGGTTCAGGAGAAACGCTGGGGCTGGAGAAACAGATTTGGGAAACTATTCAGCAAATAGGTAAAAGCAGAAGCGAAGGGAGAGGATGAGATTACTCAGGGGGCAATGTAAAGTGAGAATTGGGGCCAGAAGACAACTGTAGGGAACACCAATAATCAAATGTGGCCAAAGATAGGAGTTAGCAAATGAAACTGAAAAGAAAGACCAGAGCAGTCAAAGGACATCTAGCAGTATGTGGTAGCACAGAAACAAAGAGACTGGTCAATACAGTCAGTGATTATGAGCAATGTGGTAATATAAAGACTAAAAAATACCCTTTGCTTTTGAAAATTAGGTAATTTGGCACATTACTTCAGTGGAATCTAGAGGGTAGGGAAGGATAGTGGAATGCGTGACTTGCAGCAAGACTGAGTGGGCAGTAAGAATACTGAAAAGAAAAACAGACTGGTCTTTAAAGATGCCAAGATGTGAAGGGCAGTGATACGAGTACATGTATAGGTTGAGGAAAGCACATAGGGAAAGTTAAAAAAAAGACCAAAAATACACAGGGTGAAAACTGATGGAGTAAGGCTTCTGTAAATACTGGAAGAGAAAAGATCAAAAGGAAAGGGAGACTGCTGAGCATCAAGCTAAAGAGATATCTATTTCTCTGAGACTGAAAAGGAAACGAAAGTAAATTTATAGGTGTGGGGCTATGAGCTTAGGGAGTTCAAGCCTAATTCATCTCTGTAATTCAGCCCCTACATCACAATGTCTAGCACGTACTGGCAGTTAACATGCTAAATGGTGCGGGAAACCCCATCAAGGCAGTGGATTACTCTACAAATCATTTTCTTTTGATTAGACAATGTAAGGCCTATCTTTAGGCCTCCTGTGGAAAGTACATAATTTGCAGGGAGATAATAAAAGTTTAGTTATGTCAGGGCCCAACAGAATAAGTTGGTGGCATGAGCATAAGTTAACCTGTGGGCCACTGTAAGTTGGGGATGAACTTGAGCCTGGCACAGATGGGTATTTAAGACACTTGGATGATTCTTTCTGTGCCTAGTCTTCCATAAAATTCTGTCCTTTGCATCTTACCTCATTTCAGTTTTCTTTCTTAATGTAGTCTCTGAGTTCCTAACCCAATTTGATTGCTGCTTGCTGTCTCTACTTGGGAAGTCTGATTTTTGAGCTTTGATTAAGGTACCTTCACTTTTAAACTTAGCTTTGCACATTCTTAAAAGTTCAGCCACTCTGATACATTGTTTAAAATTAATTTCATTTTGATAGTCTACCTCCAAACCCAAATTCCAAAATCTTATGATTTTTAAGTTGGATGTAGACAGCAGACTACTTTTTTTTTTTTTTCAGAGTGCAGAGGTGTCATCATAGCTCACCGCAACCTCAAACTCCTGGCCTTAAGTGATCCTCCTGCCACAGCCTCCTGAGTAGCTAGGTACTACACGCATGTGCCACAATGCCTGGCTAATTTTTCCATTATTTGTGGAGATGGGGTCCTGCTCTTGCTCAGGCTGGTCTTGAACTCCTGAACTCAAGCAATCCTCCTGCCTCCCTCAGAAGGTTTTAAAGTTGAATTAGTTGATAACATCAAAAACCCAAGAGATTTTATGTAAAAATCCAGTGTTCTATCTTCTCTTGAAAAACTTGGAACATCTGCTAACAGCAACCACATGTTCCTTCATGGTAACAATCAGGTGGAGCTAAATAAGCAGCAACATTCTCCTTATAGTTCTCCACAGTCCCCCTTTCCTGCCCTACCCCAACCCACTGTCTCCCCAACAATGAGCTAAGCGTCAGTTTTTATTTATCATCTCACATCCAGTCTACTTGACTTACTTTTATTACCAGCCTAGCTGCTGTAGGCATTTGAGTCTGTGACCCTTGCATAAGAAAGTACATAATACGAGGGCAGAAACTTTGTTTATCTTGTATACCTCTATAATCCCAGAGTCTAGCTCAAAAAATATTTGTTGAATGAATGAATTTTTATTCCAGAAACTAAACTTATAATCATATCGGAGGGAATAACAGATGATTATATATAGAACTGTTGAAGGTCAAATTTTAAAAAATATTTTCCTGGCTCACACCTGTAATCCTAGCACTCTGGGAGGCCGAGGAAGGAGGATCACTTACATTCAGGAGTTTGAGAATAGCCTGAGCAAGAGTGAGAACCCCGATCTACCAAAAATAGAAAAAATTAGCTGGGCATGGTGGTGTGTGCCTGTAGTCCCAGCTACTCGGGAGGCTGAGGTAGGAGGATCACTTGAGCCTGAGAGTTTGAGTTTGCAGTGAGCTATGATAATGTCACTT